TTAACTTTTAATTTTATTTTTTACCTACGTGACTTTACCGAAAAAACCTAAGAGTATGAATCCTTGCAGTTACGAAAGCTTCAAATCTAGAATTGCCATCAAAACACAGGTAGTCCTCGACTTACGATGGAGATGCGTTACGACGACTCCGTCGTAAGTCGAAAATATCGTAAGTCGGAGCATCGTAACTCGGGGACTACCTGTACTACTACACCACTATCATACTGCATCAAAACACGGCAATACATAACCATAATACTACGTAAATACAAGACTACGTAACCATACGAATAGGTTCAAATGCAATGCGCAGTGTAATTGAGGCACTGTATTGTTGTCTCCGTGTGGTCTGGGACTGCTCCTGTTGTTGTGTTGCCTTGCCACAAGCTTGCATTTGGTATTGACACATCGGCAAGAAATTCTGTCCTTTCTATACTTTAGTACTTTAGTTATATTTATTTCTATACTTTAGTTGTATTTCTTTATTTACCTTTTCTATATCTTGCTCTTACATTGCATCGATGTTTGTTGTATTGCTTTGTTGATGTAACTCGCTGGCCCGCCCCTATAGACATCAGTGCAAAAGAGCGTCATAGCTCATCGGATTCCTGCTGCAATCAAAATACAGATTCTGATTCCAAATTTAAGATTATAATTGGTAAATATGTTTCGATTTAAAGCTTTCGTGACTGCAGGGATTCATATTCTTGGTTCTTTCGGTAAAGTCACGTAGAAGGGAAAACAATTATCACGACGTTTCGATTGCAACAATTGTAGTGTTTAATTTTTATTATTTTATTATTTCTTTTCCACGTGACTTTACCGAAAGAACCAAGAATAGGTAACTATGTGATCAATAATAATAATAATAATGTCCAGGCCTTGTTAATCCACGACTGGATGAAGGCCGGGCCATAACCTGCCAGGCGCCGGGGTTGTTGACCATACTTTAGCCTTCTTGGTCAGTCGGAGTTGGTGAAGATGTCATGACCCCCTCTGAGGACGGATCAGACAACACCCGCCGCTGACGTTAAGCCAATGCCGTGAATCCAACTCAGGTGGGACAAGGCTCCAACTCAGGTGGGACAAGGCTCCAACTCAGGTGGGACAAGGCTCCAACTCAGGTGGGACAAGGCTCCAACTCAGGTGGGACAAGGCTCCAACTCAGGTGGGACAAGGCTCCAACTCAGGTGGGACAAGGCTCCAACTCAGGTGGGACAAGGCTCCAACTCAGGTGGGACAAGGCTCCAACTCAGGTGGGACAAGGCTCCAACTCAGGTGGGACAAGGCTCCAACTCAGGTGGGACAAGGCTCCAACTCAGGTGGGACAAGGCTCCAACTCAGGTGGGCCAAGGATCCAACTCAGGTGGGACAAGGCTCCAACTCAGGTGGGACAAGGCTCCAACTCAGGTGGGACAAGGCTCCAACTCAGGTGGGCCAAGGATCCAACTCAGGTGGGACAAGGCTCCAACTCAGGTGGGACAAGGCTCCAACTCAGGTGGGACAAGGCTCCAACTCAGGTGGGACAAGGCTCCAACTCAGGTGGGCCAAGGCTCCAACTCAAGTGGGACAAGGCTCCAACTCAGGTGGGACAAGGCTCCAACTCAGGTGGGCCAAGGCTCCAACTCAGGTGGGCCAAGGCTCGAGGCGCAGTGCCGCGATCCACTTGCGCCACCGTAACGAGGTGAGAGGACGCGCGACTGCGATGGGGGCTGTGCGTGGTGGTGGTGCATGGTGGTGGTGGTGCGTGGTGGTGGTGGTGCGTGGTGGTGGTGGTGCGTGGTGGTGGTGGTGCGTGGTGGTGGTGCGTGTGGCAGCGTAACGTGACGCATTGGGGCCCAGTGCGCCACAAAGGGGGCATGGGGATGAACAGATGAAACAAGAATAAATCAATGTTGAGAAAAAAAGATTCAACCAAAAAATATTCCAACAATTTACCACAAATGCAAAAAAAACATTGTGACATTAAAAAAAATTATATTTCCGAAAAATGCCGAGCGTGAAATATAGTAGTGCTACTGCTGGTGTTTGTTACTGAACACCAGGTTTGATTTGTGGCTGACATGCGCATCAAAGCAAGACGCACTATAACTTAATCGTGACTATTGTAACCTTTCAATCCTCTGAACCCAATACAAGATGCAACTAAAATAATATAATATTGATTTGAAGCTTTCGTGACTGCAGGAATCCATGCATTTTGGTTATTTTGGTAAAGTCACGTAGGTAGAAAAAATAATAGATCAAGACGTTTCGATCGCCACACAAGCAATCGTCTTCAGGTGGTATAAAGAATACTATGTCTAGTTATATTCTTAGGTTTTTTCGGTTAAGTCACGTAGGTAAAACATTAAAATTAATAAAAGTAAAATAAAATAAAAATCACGACGTTTCGGAGGCAACACAAGCTTCCGTCTTCAGGTGGAACCGTCACAGCCACGACAGCTGTATCAAGTAAATGAGAGATTGCAAGAGCTACCACTCCGTATATATAATGGTTGGAGAGGGGGGAAGGGCCAAGTTATAGCCTACACAGTTTTGTATACGGGGATAAAAACCATCCGCCGGAGCTATTTCAATAAAAGTGAGTCGGGAGAAAGGAGGGGGGGGGGGGCACAGTCGAATCTTGCATAGCCCCCCCCAGTTGAGATAGGCAGCTGAGCCCCATGCAGTGACGTGCGGTCAAAAAGCCCCCTGACGCACGGCTGTCACGGCCAACGCCAGACCACCACCAGCGGAGCGCACAAACCCCTCGCGGTGTCGTGACGACTGCCCGCTGTCAAGAAGTCGCATTCCCAGAAACGGACGGGGTTTTTTCCTCATGAGCACGCGATGAGATGCAGATAAATAGAGTCACCGCACATGGATGGCATTCAAATAAATACGGGTGGAGGGGCCCGTTCTCAGGGTGTGGTGTTGTCTTACCTTGCACTAGTTACGCCACTCCCCCCACACAATAAACGATTCCGGGAGGAGCAGAGGTCATCTCTGCTTTGCATGGCCAATTAGGAATTTGTTCAACACGGCAATTAATTTGACAGTGTTGTGTTTTTAAGCAGAGGTCAGTGGCCGAGCTTGACCTCGGGTGTGTCAATGTCACCGATGCGTGTCTTCGACCTTCCTCTATTGTACACTACGCGACGTTCTCCGGCTTGAATTGTTTGTATTTATTGTGAAGTACGCTGTATGTATGCGCCGTAGGTTGAACTTCTTTTGCACCGTACGTAGCCAACCGTGATAATCGAAGGTGCGGGGGAAAGGGCAGCAGCAACAGCAACAGCAGCTGCTGCTGCCCCGTTGTGTCGTGGTCCAGTAGCGTAGCGAGCGTGGGGGGCAGGCAGGGGGCGCCTTGCCCCCCCCCCCTCCCTGGGGCCCCCTTTGACAACCGCCATGAGGTTTGTTTTCGACGACAGTTGTAAACAACAACAACACGTATGCAATGTTGTGATGAGACAAGAGGAGGCCGCGCTGATACTAACCCGATGAAAATTAAGAATAGATTTTACCCTTTCTGGCAATTAAAACAGGTGTTGAGATATTTTCTTATACTGTGATGCTAGTAAAAAAAATGTCCCATGTTGTAGCTGCTCGCTCCGAGCTATGAATGCCCCGATCGTGCATTGTACTTGCACTGTCCGCCTCTTGGCGTTGTTCTCTGTCCTGCCACTGCTGGCGAGACTCGGCCATAGAGAAGGCTGCTGTCTCTGCTGCAGGTCAATCAGTTCCAAATACAATGCCATTGTTAATTATAATGATTATCAGAGCGTGTTTTTGCATGTTCACCACAAGTACGTGCGGTTAATGCAAACATGATTCCTTGCAACATATTTCTATTTGGTGTTTGAACATCTTAACACCTGTTTTGTTGCCAGAAAGGGTGAAACCTATTTTATTATTTCATACTTTGATACTGGCAAAAAGATCCCATTTTATTGTAGACCTATGTTCAGCCGTGCGAGACAAATCAAATATTGGGACCCCACCTGGCCCATGACCACACCCGCTGAGCTGACAATGTCGTCACCACGCCGCTGGGATCGTCTGCATGGTCACCCACATGCCTGTAGGTGCAATGAATGAATGATACTGGTAGGAACCTCCTGGTTACACCAGCCCACAGGGGATTATTGTGTCCGTCGTGCAGGGAGGGGCTGGGTGGGGAGGGGAGGGGCTGGGTGGGGAGGGTGGGGCTGGGCGGGGAGGGGGAGGGTGGGGAGGGGCTGGGTGGGGAGGGTGGGGAGGGGATGGGTGGGGAGGGGAGGGGGGATGGGTGGGGAGGGTGGGGAGGGGTTGGGTGGGGAGGGTGGGGCTGGGTGGGGGGTGGGAGGGGAGGGGCTGGTCACCCCGTGGTGCCCTTATAAAACTCAACGTTTAATCTACTCACGCCGGCTTGTGCCCGCCCTCACAGTCGGGCATATTTGCGGAATACACCACGCCGCCGTTGACCCTGGCCATTGACCGAGCAACCCAACGTTCCTACCAGCTCCCTCCGCAGGAATGTGTTGGTAAAGAAGGAATGTGTTTCTCCGTCTCTCTCGCTCTGAGCCGCGCAATTGCCGGAGCCTCCTCCACCAGAGGGAGCCCCAAGAGATTCCACCTCTGAGGTTTGGTAAAAGTGGAAGGAACATCGGAGACAGTGATGGGCCGCAGGGAGGGTTTGTGTCAATGTCACCTTGAGTCACGGTGTCACACCGACGCAGAGCCCCGAGGCACGGAGAGTGGAGTCACCATCGCGGTCACGAATACTCGCTAATGAGTAGAACGGCACGGGAGAGAGAGACAAAGCAAGTCGTCACGGAGTTTGACCTTGTATATATTTACGTTGAATGTCAATTATAGTAGGAAGCATCCATATCAATAAACGGGCGATTCCACGGTTGTTCCCGTGCCAGGCGTGAGTTCTGACACATCGATGCCGTAGCACGAGCTCGTGTCACGGCATCGATGTGGAACTCTGCGTGCCCAGAGTGGTGTTTGTGGCTGGCGATGCCAATGCGAGCTCCATGGTGGAGGCTGCGTTTGCCGTGACGACAGGGCATGGCGTGACGACGGCACGACACGACGGGAGCAACGACGACGACTTCAGAAAAACGGCGCGAGAGGTCGGTACCAGGAGGATGTTGCAGCACGACTTGAGCACATTGGGACAATACACAGGGAAGTTGAGTCAAGTGACGAAATGTTGCAGTAGGCACCGACTGGGGGCTCTCTGCCCATGGATCGTGATGATGATGACTCTCGTCTGTATGTGTGTCTGTATGTGTCTGTGTGTGTGTCTGTATGTGTGTCTGTGTGTGTGTCTGTATGTGTGTCTGTATGTGTGTCTGTATGTGTGTCTGTATGTGTGTGTGTACGTGTGTCTGTATGTGTGTGTGTATGTGTGTCTGTATGTGTGTCTGTATGTGTGTCTGTATGTGTGTGTACGTGTCTGTATGTGTGTATGTGTGTCTGTACGTGTGTCTGTACGTGTGTGTCTGTACGTGTGTGTCTGTATGTGTGTGTATGTGTGTCTGTACGTGTGCTGAACCGTGAATATGCCAGCGACTCGCGGGCGGGGTGGATAGCGATTGCACAACACGAGAGAGGCAAACTGACCCCGACTGGAGGGCATTCATCAAGGGGGTGAGTAACCGCGGGTGTCCGAGTCGCGCTGTGTGTTGCAAGGGGCGGGTGCATCGGGTGACCTGCAATGCAGGAGGACGTGGGTTCCATGCCGACCCTGACGTCTGCTGTCTCTCTCCTCGTGCTCGCGTGGATTTTTTATTTTCTCCGGGTCCTCCGATTTTTCCCTCCACATTTAGAAACACGCGTCTCGATTATTTAGATTATCAAGCTGCTATAAATGTCCTCATGATAAGCAACTTCGTTGAGCTATCATTTGTGGCCAGGTCGCTTCTGAAAAATGCGTTAATAGCTCAGTGGGCTCTACCTAGTAAAATAAAAAGTGTTTTATTTGTTTTTATATTTTTAGTGATTTTTTTTTACCTTATCTCCACTTTGCACTCCTGCCTTGTTGGTTGTGTTGTTTGTTGTAACTTTTTGACCTCGTGCCCCTACTGAACATCTGCGACAAAGTGATTCATGGCTCATCGGATTCCTCCTCCAGTATCAATACATATTCCGACATGAGTGTGTGGGGTCGTCAATGGCATTGAGTGAGCTCTGCCTCGCTCCGCCGAGACTTCGGGGACACCATCTAAACATCATCATCGTCTGCGTCGCCACCGTAATAGCGACAGTTTTAAATCAACAGCATTGTAGCACATGGCACTGTCACACGCTACAGTGCCTCGTCTATTTAACTATAAACTATTGAAACTATTCGCCTACACCTAATTAACTGTATATGTTTTACCAGCTCAGGCTCCCGCTGAGCTATGCGGCTCTTTTTCAGAAGCTGCTCGGCTATCACAAACGACTGGTCGACGAAAGACGCTTATCGTATTGGTTCTTTCGGTAAAGTCACGTAGAAGGGAAATAATACAATAATAAATAATAAAACATTATAAAATAACATTCTCACGACGTTTCGGCCACAGCGTCCTAAATCTTTCCGACAGCTCTGTTTCTTCACCTGAGGACGGTTGCTTGCGTTGTGGCCGAAACGTCGTGATATTTTTATTTTATTGCTTTATTTTTTATTCTTTATTATTTCCCTTCTACGCAACTTTACCGAAAGAACCAAGAATATGAATCCCTGCAGTCACGAAAGCTTTACATCGAAATTTAGGCTTATCGTCACTTGGGAATGTATAGCAGCAGTCAAATATTCTCTACAGCGGCAGTCAAATACTCGGAATGCACTTCGTGCCAAGCCATTTATTTATCCGTGCAGCATTCGCCGACGTGTTTCATGTTCGCCCTGAAGGCACACAAGACAGGCACATTCGAAAGTTCAACGCCGCACTACAAATACAAACGCTCAGCACATTGTGGGTTGAGCGAGGGAGGCGGGGTGCTAATGGATGCTTTACCAAACGTGAAGTCGCACGTGTGTCTGTGCGTGTCTGTGTGTGTCTGTGCGTGTCTGTGTGTGTCTGTGGCTCTGTGCGTGTCTGTGTGTGAGTGGGGAGCGGTGGTGTCGCGGTTAGCGCACTGCGTTACAAACCCACCGAGCCCAGCTTTGATTCCCGCTCACAGCCAACACCAGTGACGATTATCTGAACCGGTCCCGGTCCAGGACCTCCCCTAGGTCGACTCGGCCTCAAATCAGTATTTGGTGCGGTGTGTAATCGCCACGAAGGAGACAAAGGCGGCCGGGCGCGGTGCTGGCCACCCACCCCCTCGTGTGCCGTGCCGGCCTTCATAGGTGCTCGCCAACAGCACTTGCCCCTACAGTCTGTTCAGGCTATACGGGGGATCTTTGTCTTTCGTGTAGCGTGTGGGGAGCGGTAGTGCAGTGGTTAGCGCTACGCTGCGCTACGAACCCGGCGACACGAGTTCGATTCCCGTTCACGGCCACCACCAGTGACGATTATCTGAACCGGTCCTGGGCCTCCCCTATGTCGACTCAGCTTCAAATGAGCTCCTGGCGTCGTGTGTAAACATCGCCACTGGTGAGACAAAGGCGGCCGAGCGTTGTGCTGGCCACCAGCCCCCTCATTGGCGCTCGCGAGCAGCATCTGTTGCTCCCAACAGATGCTGTTAAATGATCCACGGGGGAGCTTTGTCTTTGTAGAGGATCGTTGAGAAACTGCTCGAGGTTGGTTTAACCTTTGTGGGTGAGGACAAAAGAGGCAGGGCAGGCAGGCAGAGCCCGGCTGGCAGCGCGGCTGGCAGCGCGAGTTAATATTCAGCAGGCGACCCGCTCGGGGAGCAAAGGTCGCCTCCTCCCAACATCACCCCGCTGCTGCTGCTGCTGCCGCCGCTGCTGCTCCGCGAGCGTCGTGAAGGGACACACAGACGAGGCATTGACTCTTGACACGAGAGGTGAGCCGACATCAGCGGGCAAGAAAGGCGGCAGCGATCGCTGCTCCTGCCGAGGTGGCTGGAGATGTTCACTCCCTCGCCTCGCGTGCAGGAGGCCGTGGGGTCGATCCCGACCCTGACGATGCCTAGTTGGAGTTTGCGTGTCTCTCTCCACGTGTTTGCCGGGTCTCCACGTTTAGAATGAACGTGGGTTTAGAGCGGCGGTGTAGTGGTTAGTGCTACGCTGCGCTATGAACCTGGCGACCCGGGTTTGATTCCCGCTCACGGCCAACACCGGTGACGATTATCTGAACCGGTCCCGGGCCTCCCCTAGGTCGACTCAGCCTCAAATGTGTACCTTGTGCGGTGTGTAAACATCGCACCAGTGTAGTAAACATCGCCACTAGGGAGACAAAGGCAGTCGGGCGTGGTGCTGGCCACCCACCCCCTCGTGTACCGTTCCGGCCTTCATAGGTGCTCGCTAACAGCACTTTCCCGACAGTTTGTTATGGCTATACGGGGGATCTTTGTCTTTGTGTGAGTGTGTGTGAGTGAGTGAGGAGTACTCTTAGTTCTTTCGGTAAAGTCACGTAGGTAAAAAGTGAAATTAAAATTAATAAAAAATGAAAACAATAAAATCACGACGTTTCGGAGGCAACACAAGCTTCTGAAGACGGAAGCTTGTGTTGCCTCCGAAACGTCGTGATTTTATTGTTTTCATTTTTTATTAATTTTAATTTCATTTTTTACCTACGTGACTTTACAGAAAGAACTAAGAGTATGAATCCCTGCAGTCACGAAAGCTTCAAATCTAGAATGAGTGAGGAGTGTGTATGTTTTTGTATTCCTTCACCAAGCCAGCAAGCGAAGTCAGTCAGCCCAGTACTGAGGGTAAGAACATTTATAACTCTAAAAGATGTCCTTTATCTGGTAATTGTTTTCATATATATATTAGATGTGTATTTTAATATAACTGTAATTTACAAAAAAGGAAATATCATAGATACCAAGTATTAAGGGGTGATGTGGCGACGTTAGGAATGCCGCCCCCCACCGCTTTGGTTGACGTCGTTTCAGGAAGAGCGACTCCACAGAAGGGATCAGCAGAGACGGTGGGGGTCGCTCTTCACAATCAGAGCCACCACAATCAGAGCCACCACAATCAGAGCCACCACAATCAGAGCCACCACAATCAGAGCCACCACAATCAGAGCCACCACAATCAGAGCCACCACAATCAGAGCCACCACAATCAGAGCCACCACAAACAGAACCACCACAATCAGAGCCACCACAATCAGAGCCACCACAAACAGAGCCACCACAAACAGAGCCGCCACATTCAGAGCCACCACATTCAGAGCCACCACAATCAGAGCCACCACATTCAGAGCCACCACAATCAGAGCCACCACATTCAGAGCCACCACAATCAGAGCCACCACAATCAGAGCCACCACATTCAGAGCCACCACAATCAGAGCCACCACGATCAGAGCCACCACAATCAGAGCCACCACAATCAGAGCCACCACAATCAGAGCCACCACATTCAGAGCCACCACATTCAGAGCCACCACAATCAGAGCCACCACAATCAGAGCCACCACAATCAGAGGCACCACATTCAGAGCCACCACAATCAGAGCCACCACAATCAGAGCCACCACAATCAGAGCCACCACATTCAGAGCCACCACATTCAGAGCCACCACAATCAGAGCCACCACAATCAGAGCCACCACAATCAGAGCCACCACAAACAGAGCCACCACAAACAGAGCCACCACATTCAGAGCCACCACAAACAGAGCCACCACAATCAGAGCCACCACAATCAGAGCCACCACAATCAGAGCCGCCACAATCAGAGCCACCACAATCAGAGCCACCACATTCAGAGCCACCACATTCAGAGCCACCACATTCAGAGCCACCACAATCAGAGCCACCACAATCAGAGCCACCACAAACAGAGCCACCACAAACAGAGCCACCACATTCAGAGCCACCACAAACAGAGCCACCACAATCAGAGCCACCACAATCAGAGCCACCACAATCAGAGCCGCCACAATCAGAGCCACCACAATCAGAGCCACCACATTCAGAGCCACCACATTCAGAGCCACCACATTCAGAGCCACCACATTCAGAGCCACCACAATCAGAGCCACCACATTCAGAGCCACCACGATCAGAGCCACCACGATCAGAGCCACCACAATCAGAGCCACCACGATCTCTGCCTGGTGGACTGCGGCAGGAGGAATCCCATGGACTGCGAATGCTATTTTTTCAAACAGGCGATGACCCATCCCAGGAGATGCCCCCCCCCCCTATCACCCCCCCCCTGCCCCCCAGCCCTAGTGGGGGGCTGGGGGGGCAGCGCGAGGCACAGAGGGGGGGGGGGGGCGGTGACGGGGGCAGGAGGCCACGCGGTGCCCACGCCGACAGAACTGAGCCCGCCACACGATTATCGGGGCCTCTACCCACGATATCTTGTATCGCAATACGATATGAATGTTAACGATATGACGATTATCGCGATATCAGTTCCCCCCCCCCCAAAAAAACCGTTCTGATTGTGCGCCTACCATTTCAATCGCCTGTTGTCATTGTGTGTGCTTTGGTGTACCTGAAGTACACCCGACGATGACGTAATGCGTCTTCTTGTCCACGGATGCCGTAGTGTGCGATGTGCGAAGCCGCTGTTGGTGGGCCACGTGACTCTGACTCACGACAGTCGCCCCCCTGTGTCCACCAGAGTCATCATCGGCTGGTTAAACAAAATGAAGCTTTAAACTTGAAACGCTGCGTGTTGAACGGAATGTATAAACAGAGATTCTCGCCTTGAAAGTTATTGTTTAAACACGCCCTGGTTATTGATTTACTTAAATCATATATATACATACAAAGATCGCCCGTATAGCCTCAACAGACGCATGGGGCAAGTGCTGTTAGCGAGCAGCACCCATGAAGGCCGGCACGGCACACGAGGGGGTGGGTGGCCAGCCCCACGCCCGGCCGCCTTTGTCTCCCCAGTGGCGATGTTTACACACCGCACCAGGTACTCGTTTGAGGCGGAGTCGATCTCAACTAATTGTAAATAGACACACAGACACACACATACACAGACACACACACACACAGACACACACACACACAGACACACACACACAGACACACAGACACACAACACCAGCACTGCAGGGAACGCGGGTTCCGTGTCTCCTGTGCAACCCGTCCCGGCTTTTCCCAACATTCTGCAGAGGCCACTGCTTCTGGTGTTGGCATTGCCAACCCCCCCACACTCACTCACGTCGCTGACGGCATCGTTCGTCATTACTCGTTATCCATCGTCTCTCAGCCTTCACGTCCACCACCACCACCACTACTACCACCACCACCAACACCCACTACCACCACCACCACCATCGTCGTTGTCGCTCCTTTCAGGAACGCATCCCCCCCCCCATGTAAACCGAGGTACTGCTGTAGTCCAGCCACGACATGCTGCTGCTACTCTATACAAGTGGTGGTGTTTCTATTGAGTGGTGGATTCTATTCGGAGTTGGCCAGATTGACGAACACCCTATAGCCTTCACAAAAAACAAACACGTGGCAAATATGTCTTTAAAGTCCGTCGTGACGTTCATTGCCATTCCCGTGCAACGTCCCTGAGTGGTACGCCCCACGTCACAACCGCTCGGTTGTGACGTTGTGTGCGTGTCTCTCTCCCTCCCTCTCTCTGTAGTGCGGCATGGCGAGCAGGCAGTGGCTCAAGAGAGGATTAGGCCGCTGGAGATGGCATTCACGCCCGAACGTCTCTGCGCTGGAGGGCCGTCGGTCCGGAGCGCACCCTGTGGCAGGGCGCGAGCTGTCGTCTCGCAGCGAACCGCGGGACCCCTCCGGCAAGGCCAACAACTTTTCTGACTACGACTCCATGCGGAGGGACTTCAGCTTGGCCATTCCGGAGCACTTCAACTTTGCCGGCGACGTTCTGGATAAGTGGGCGCAGATCGAGGAGGTATGGGGAGCAGAGTCAGGGCTTGCTGGCGCTGGGAGTGAGTCTGTTTGGGTGTGTGACTTGGGTGTGGGAGTGAGTGTGTGTGAAAGTGAGTGAGTGCGTGCACGTGTGTGTGCATGTGTGTGCATGTGTGTGTGTGAAAGTGACTTGGGTGTGAGAGTGAGTGTGTGTGAAAGTGAGTGATTGCGTGCACGTGTGTGTGAAAGTGAGTGAGTGCGTGCACATGTGTATGCATGTGTGTGTGTGTGTGAAAATGACTTGGGTGTGGAAGTGTGTGCGTGCGTCCGCGCGCGTGCCCGCGTGTGTGTTTGTGGGGAGCGGTGGTGCGATGGTTAGCGCTGCGATTCCGGCTCACGGCCAACACCAGTGACGTTTATCGAGGTCGACTCACTACCTGGTGCGGTGTGTCAAATATCGCGACTAGGGAGACAAAGGCGGCCGGACGTGGTGTTGGCCACCCACCCCTCGTGTGCCGTGCCGGCTTTCATAAGGGTGCCACTCGCTAACAGCACTTTCCACAACAGTCTGTTAAGGCTACACGGGTATCTTTGTCTTTCTATATACATTTACTTGTCACCGTGGGTGCCACTGTGGTGCTTTACTCTTTCGACGTTGGTTCATTATCCCACCACAACATTTTCAATTCGATTTCCTCATCAAAAGAACAGCCCTGGGCCCGTGATGGAAATTCCACATTCCAATGACCGGGGCAAGCCTCTCCACGGAGACAAGCACTGTTTGACTCCCCCCCCCCCCCCCCCCCCCCTCCCACGATAAAGTGTGGCTCACTTTATCGACCCCCCAGAGAAAGATTATGGGGACGGGTGAACCCCCCCCCCCCGCCAAACTTGTGTTTGAACTCTCGACCTTCCGATGGCAAAGCGCCTCGCTGCCGCCGCTGCGCCCCCCCCCCCCCCATGCCGGATTGCTCGCCGGCCAACATCGCCCAACGGCAGTGCCCACGCGATGCCAGTGACCCGCCCGGGGCGCCTCGTTGCAGCAGCAGCAGCAGCTGGGCCTCAGTGAGCCCAAGCCGGCGCTGTGGTGGGTGGGCGCTGGCGGCGCTGGCGGCGGAGATGGCGGGGAGGAGCGCTGGGGATTCCGGGAGCTTGCCGAGCGCTCGCGCAAGGCGGCCAACGTCCTGACCGGCGCGTGTGGCCTCGGCAGAGGGGACCGGCTGCTGCTGGTGCTGCCCAGGGTGCCCGAGTGGTGGTTGCTGAACGTGGCCTGCATCCGCGCAGGTTGGTGGGGTGGACGTGGACGTGACGAGCGGCTTCCGTTTGGCCGGATAGAGGGGGGGCTAAACGGGCGCGGCAATGGACTAGAGTAGAGATGGAGCTGATGGGTCAGTGAGTGAGTGAATAGCACAGGCTCGAGAAGAGATGGAGCTGATGGGTCAGTGAGTGAGTGAATGGCACAGGCTCGAGAAGAGATGGAGCTGATGGGTCAGTGAGTGAGTGAGTGAATGGCACAGGCTCGAGAAGAGATGGAGCTGATGGGTTAGTGAGTGAGTGAATGGCACAGGCTCGAGAAGAGATGGAGCTGATGGGTCAGTGAGTGAGTGGGTGAGTGGGTGGCACGAGCTCGAGAAGAGATGGAGCTGATGTGGTACGAAAGGATGTGGTGTTGTGTGGACTTACTGATGACCGGTACCAGATCGGCCTGTATGGAGGAGGCTCATCAATGTCGCTACTGGGTAGTTGGAGGCAGTCGCCCTCCAGCAACAGCAGAGAGCAGAGGAGCGACGCTCACAACAACGAGCGGAGCGCCGGGCGGCTAAAATGCAGAGAGTTGGCACAGTGGTGAGCGCAGCTGGTTCCTCTGCCAATCATCTCAGTCAACCCACGGCACCTGCAGGGTCTGTTCCGTGACCTCCTGCCAGCGAGCCTTCGACACTTCACGTGGCCTGAAAGTTCCTCTAGCATGGCACAAGCGCTGTGGCGACGTGATCGCCACGTATGTATGTACGTTGAGCTTATTCTTTGGGTCTTTCGGTAAAGTCACGTAGATAGGTTGAAAAAAAATAAGAAAAAACTACGACGTTTCGATCGCAACACAAGCGGTCGTCATCAGGAGAAAAACATGATGACGCTCGCTTGTGTTGCGATCCAAACGTCGTAGTTTTTTGTTCTTTTCTTTCAACCCATCTACGTGACTCTACCGAAAGACCCAAATAATATGAACTCCTGCAATCACGAAAGCTTTAAGTCAAGATGTTACGTTGTGCTTCTTTGGGACATTCCACGTGGCCACTCTCAGTGGCTTTTTGCCATTTCTAGAGGAACCCCGAGGGTGCGGGTTCAGTCTCCTGGCTCCGCCAAATGAGGTTTGGCCAAGAGACGTCATAGACGCCTGTCCCCCCGAGGCCTCCGGCACAACCTTTGCTGTTGTTGAGCTTCTTACAGCAGGCATCGTCAGGCTCGGGATGAAACCCACGACCTCCTGCATACCAGGCGAGGGAGTTAACATCTCACCCCCCCCCCCCCACTACCGCCTGCGTGTCCAGGAGTCGTGCTCATCCCCGGCACGGCGCAGCTCACCGCGCGCGACGTGCGTAGCCGCCTGCTGGCGTGCGGGGCGCGCTGCGTGGCCACGGACGAGTCGCTGGCTCCGCTCGTCGACCTCGTGCTGCCCGAGTGTCCGCGCGTCAGCTCCAGGCTCCTGGTCTCCGCAGGCGGCCGCAGGGACGGCTGGCTCAGCTTCCACGACGAATTCAGGCACGGCGAGTTTTGTCTCCGTCCTCCCCCCCCCCCCCCCAGGCCCCCGCGGTGTTCGCCGCGAGCGTCGATGAGGAGGTGGAGGTGGCGCCGCTCGCGTGCCTCGGTCGGAGATACGCTCCGTTGTTTAGTCCGTCGGCAGGTCGCCTGCGGCGGGGTAAAGTGTGGGTACGCTCCGCTCGTTCCGAGAGGTCTGGCCGGTGTGGGAGAGTAGTCCAGATCCTACCCCACCACAAGGGCTTCTCTTGAGCAGTGGCTCGCAACCCCTGGGGGCACGCGGAGCCCTGGGGGCACGCGGAGCCCTGGGGGCACGTGGCAATGTTCCAGGGGGCACGTACGGAGGTGATTTGTAAATGTGCGAAATGATATCGTACGTGAGAGTCGCTGGTGAATAATCATGTAAGAATCTGCCAATATAAATTAATACGGTAAAATGTTCATCCATATGGTAACCTAGAACGAAAAAAAATACCCTTATAAACTCATTGATCGTAAACAATGTGGTTTCCAAGAGGAACCAGTGAACTGATGTCATGACGCGTGCAGAGCGTACGTCGAATTTTTAGTTATTCGCTTGCAGATATTTAGCGAGTTAGGGGCACCTCACAAAATGGACAATCGGTAAAACATATATATTGACGTTCATTATCCGTACATTTATTTCTCAGAACCACGTTGGGTCAGGCACGGCGGTGGGGGTGGGGGGTTACTATTCAGCTGAAAGGAAATTCAACAGGGGGGCAAGGTAGTGGCCGAAGAGAGCGCCGAGAACCACTGCCGTAGAGAGCGGCGTCCCAGCGCCCATCTGCCGCAGCTGGGGCGGCGCTTGCCGCGGTGGGGTCAAGCGGCCGAGCGGTGTTGGGGTCAAGCGGCCGGGCGGTGCGCGGTGTTGGGGTCAAGCGCGGGGCCCTCCCGCCGCTTCCAGAGCGCAGTCTCGCCCATCGGGTTGCTCGCGGCCGCTGCCGGCGGAGGGGCCCCCAACAGAGGGTGCTTTGGCCTACTCTTCCAATGCTGGCCAGACATCTCGGAAGAGGCACGCAACCTGCCGACAGAACTCACTGTGGCAAACCCATTTAGGCCCGCCGGATGGGCAGAGGCATGGGGAGGGAGGAGGGGGGGGGGGATTTAAGAATCATCCACCTTTGTTTCAGCCGCGGCGCCGGGAGATGGAGTTCAACCGGCAACCTTTGCATTTGGAGTGCGGTTGCTCTAACCATAACAATAATACCACTACTAAACTAAAAGATATTTTTATTTTACCGGGTAAAGCTCTTTTTCAGAAGCGATCTGGCCACGTTACGATAGCTCAACGAAGCGGCTCATCATCATCATATGGATATTTCTATCTGCCGAATACTCTAAATGCACATCGATTCTAAATGTGGAGGGGAAAACCAGAGGACCGGGAGAAACATCCACACGGCCACGGCGAGAGAGAGAGAGAGAGACACGCAGACTTCAAATATACAGCAGCAGGCGTCTGGGTCGGGATCGAACCCACGGCCTCCTGTATACCAGGCGAGGTAGTTGACACCCCCCCACCGGGCACACACAGTGACGCGTGTACATGCAGCGTGTACACACGCGTGACCGCAGGGTGCAACTTTTGTCAAAAAATGGGAACGATGGGGGGAGGGAAGGGAGTGGTGGGGCAGAGGGGTTACTTCACGTTCGGTGACCACGGTTACGACAGATCCGGCATCGCACGCCACAATCTGCGGTGTCAGAAAACGCGAAGTCGGTGAAGCTTTTGGGTGCTTTTTACGTCAAAGGTGTGCAAGTTCACATGCGTGAGAGGCACGTGAGGAGTTGAGATGTTAACTACCTCGCCTGGCGTGCAGGAGGTCGTGGGTTCGATCCCGACCATGATGACGCCTGCTGCATGTTCACTCTCCCCGTGGTCGCGTGGATTTTTCTCCGGGGTCTTCCATTCTTTGTCCTTCCACATTTAGAATCAAGGCCACGCGTCCAGAGTACACATTTGGCTCCAAGTGATGGGAAGCCACTTCGTTGAGCTATCGTTTGTGACGGTCAGGTCGCTTCCGATGAAAGATCTATACAGCCGAGTGGGGCCTTACACCTCGTCAAATACAAGATGGTGCCACGGGGCGCCCCCCGCGCCACCAGATGCCACCTTGGGCACCAACTCGGGTTCATGCTCCTTCTTAGCGGAGAATCACTGCCACGGTGACCCCTCCGCCCCCCCTCCCGCCCCCCCCCATCCCAGGGGATCCTGGAACCCGGGGCCTGCCGTAACCCACAATGCCCCATAACCCACAATGCCCCATAACCCACAATGCCCCATAACCCACAATGCCCCATAACCCACAATGCCCCATAACCCACAATGCCCCATAACCCACAATGCCCCATAACCCACAATGCCCCATAACCCACAATGCCCCATAACCCACAATGCCCCATAACCCACAATGCCCCATAACCCACAATGCCCCATAACCCACAATGCCCCATAACCCACAATGCCCCATAACCCACAATGCCCCATAACCCACAATGCCCCATAACCCACAATGCCCCATAACCCACAATGCCCCATAACCCACAATGCCCCATAACCCACAATGCATTTCCCTCCGGCAGGGCGGCCTCGAGCCGTCACGAGTGCGTGAAGACGGACAGCAAGGAGGTGATGACCGTCTTCTTCACCAGCGGCACGACGGGCTCTCCCAAGATGACTGTCCACAGTCACGGCAGCTTTGGCTTGGGCTTGACCACGAACGGAAGGTAACACGCGGCGCTCCGTGGACGAAGGGAAGGTCACACCACGTTGCGCTGTGGAGACGCGACGCTCTTTGTGACGTGTCACCCGCAGCATTGCACATTTTTTGACGTCTCGAAACCTTGCTGCTTCTTTTCAAATAAATTAAAATAAATAAAACACACTTTCCAAGCACAAAAGTCCCAAAGGGTCAACCGCATTTCTTGATTTGAGAAGTAAAATTGTAAACCTGGAGGGGGTGGGGGGGGGAGAGACAGAAACGACGATAGCAAAGAGAAAGGCGACTAAAAAGTGGAGCGGTGCGAGGGAAGGAGCAGAGAAAGTGAGAGAGAGAAGTGAGATGACCTTAAGTGTCGTGGTGGTGGTGGTGGTGGTGATGGTGGTGGTGGTGATGGTGGTGGCGGTGGTGGTTGTGGTGGTGGTGTTCGTGGTGGTGGTGGTGGCGGTTGACCACAGAGCTGGTGGGATGCAAAAACCAAGTTTTTAGAGAATTATTTACTTCATAGAGCAAGGGTCCGCGATCTGCATGCGGCTCGTTAAGGACTGCTTTGTGACGTTTTCACGTATCAATGGCCCACCGTCTCTCGTCTGCACCACGGGCATTGCGGCTCTTGAAACATTTGGGTTCTTTACCGAATTCTAAAAAAATGTCTCTTCTTGTTACTTTGGTTGGCGACCGCTGTCTCTCTGTGACGGAGGATGCGCCACCATCGCTCGTGGGATCTCCCGGCGTTTGCGGTGTTTTTTATTTCTCCCTCTCCCCGCCTCTACCCACGCAGCAGTATAACGTGGGCACGCCACAGATGTTTGATGGGCAGGTCACGTGCGGCGGGGGTCACGTGCTGTAGGTTAAAGTGGACGGCATTGGGGAGCCACTGGGAGCTATGCACTTTTAGATAATCGAGGTTACAAACTCGTTTCTTTAGAACTGCTTTTTGTGTTCAGTTTGTTGTCCTTCCCTCCACCTCCGGCTGGCACGGTCAGCTACGTACGGTGCGAAAGCAGTTCAACGTACATACTAAACTAAAAGTTTTTTTTTATTTTACGAGGTAAGGTCCACTGAGCTATGTAGCTCTTTTGTAGAAGTGATCTGGCCACAGATTATAGGTCACGAATCGGCTTATCATCACGTGGAAATGTGTAGCAGTCAAATACTCTAAATGGATGTTGATTACTAATGTGGAGAGAAAAACTGGAGGACCCAGAGAAAAATGCATGCGACCACGGGGAGAGAGAGAGAGAGCGAACATGCACACTTCGAATAGTCAGCAGGCATCGTCAGGGTCAGGATCGAACCCACTAACCTACAACCTCTGGTATACCAGCGAGAGAGTTACTATCTCGCCACCATGGCATCTCTGACCGATGCCAGTTAATAAAGCATTCCGGATTGGTAAAGTGCCAGGCATCGTCAGGGTCGGGATCGATCCCACCGCGGCACCCCCACACGTCCAACGTGCACGCGCTCCGTGCGAACGCAGATTCTGGTTGGACCTCACCCCGGCAGACGTCATGTGGAACACGTCGGAGACGGGCTGGGCCAAGTCTGCGTGGAGCAGCGTCTTCGCTCCGTGGACGCAGGGCTCCTCCGTCTTCGTGCGCGCCATGCACAGATTCGACTCCCGCACCGTCCTCAAGGTGTGAGCGTCGGTGTGCTCGCTCGATGCGGCGGAAAGCCCTCTCGAGACGGCACTTTACCATTCTGCGATATTTTTATACTGCAGGAGGAGGAATCCGATGAGCTATGAAGCTCTTTGTTTCACAGATGTCCGGTAGGGGCACGGGGTCAGAATGTGACGACAACGAACAATAGAAAAAGACACGATCGTAGTGCAAAGTACAAGATAGGTAAACAAATCGCCCAAACACAAACAAATAAAACTAAACCATCCCCCATTCTATCAGACAAAGCCCACGGAGGTATGAACTTATTTTTCAAAAGTGACCTGGTCCCAAATGATAGCTAAACAAAGTGGCCAACAATTTGGACATTTACAGCAGCTAAATTATCTTAAATAGCTTAATGATCTCAACCCCTGCTCCAACCATGCAACTGATGTGCACTGTCGGTAAAAAAAATCAATCAGGTATACAGGAAGGTGAATTAAGAAAGAAAACGCAGCAGGAAACGTGAGCACGCTTTTGCATGTCAGGGTGCCATCGCCACCGTCTTGCCGCCTGTGTCCGTGAGCGCCGTGCCGCTGCTGTGCCCTCCAGACGCTCGTCGATTACCCCATCACGACGTTTTGCTCTGCTCCGACCGCGTACAGAATGATGGTGCAAGAGGACGTGGCAAGGTGAGCCCATCATTGACACTGTGCTTGATGAATAAAACTGTAAACTATTTTTATTTTATTTTAACCGGGTAAGACCCCACTGAGATAAACGGCTCTTTTTTATAGAAGCGACCTGGCCACAAATGACAGCTCAACGAAGTGGCTCATCATCACGTGGAAATTTATAGCAGCCAAATACTCTAAACGCGTGATGTTGTTTCTAACTGTGGAGGGAAAATCCGGAGGACCCGGAGAAAAACCATACAACCACTGGGAGAGAAACACGCAAACTCCAAATATACAGCAGCAGGCGTCAGGGTTGGGATCGAACCCACGACCTCCTGTAGACCAGGCGAAGTCGTTAACATATCGCCACCGTTATTGGTGCTTGATGGCTGTATGTATGTTGTATATATGTTGAACTTCCTTAGCACTGTACGTAGCCAACCGTGCTAATCAGAAGTGCGGATGATGGATGGATATTGTTCAATTGTTCACTGAGGACTTATGACTGATAATTATCAATTAAAATAATCACAATTTAAACTTGTAACGCACTAACGCACACTATACCATCACTCTGGACGATAGATAACGAGTCAAGAGGCACGAAGTGACCTGTCCAGAAAACGATCGCTCGACAAAGTGGCTCATCGTGTGCAAATGTGGGTTGTGAGAATACTGGACATCTGCGAAAAAAGGGCTTCATAGCTCATCGGATTTCTCCAGGATAAATAAATATTCTGATTCTGATAATTTCATCTCGCTTCTTGCGGTGGCAGAAGTGTCAGTGTGCGGCGCTTTAGAAATATAAATTCGATCAAATTAAATTTGGGCCAGAGTAAGGAATCGGTCCCCGCCCCTGCCACCTCTGCCCTAAAGCTTCCTCTCGTTCCCCTCCTGCACGTCAGCTTCAAATTCCGGAGCCTGCAGCACTGCGTGAGCGCTGGGGAGCCCATCAACCCCGAAGTCATGGAGGCGTGGAAACGCGCTACCGGTCTGGACATCTACGAAGGCTACGGACAGACAGAGACGGTGAGATCCTCCAGCAGTGAGCTGCTCCAGCAGTGAGATCCTCCAGTGGTGAGAACCTCCAGCAGTGAGAACCTCCAGCAGTGAGAACCTCCAGCAGTGAGATCCTCCAGCGGTGAGATCCTCCAGTGGTGAGATCCTCCAGCAGTGAGATCCTCCAGCGGTGAGATCCTCCAGCAGTGAGATCCTCCAGCAGTGAGAACCTCCAGCGGTGAGAACCTCCAGCAGTGAGAACCTCCAGTGGTGAGAACCTCCAGCAGTGAGAACCTCCAGTGGTGAGAACCTCCAGTGGTAAGAACCTCCAGTGGTGAGAACCTCCAGCGGTGAGAACCTCCAGCAGTGAGAACCTCCAGTGGTGAGAACCTCCAGCGGTGAGAACCTCCAGTGGTGAGAACCTCCAGTGGTGAGATCCTCCAGCGGTGAGATCCTCCAGCGGTGAGATCCTCCTTTTCTCCGGGGTCTTCCGGTTTTTCCTCTCCACATTTAGAAACAACATCACGCGTTCAGAGTACTGGGCTGCTTTACATTTCACGAGATGATAAGCCACTTTTGTTGAGCTATCGTTTGTGGCCAGGTGGCATCTGTAAAAGGGCTACTATATGTGGGCTTTATCTGGTAAAATAAAGTGATGAATAGTTCAGTTTAGCTTGGCGAGGTGACGCCACATGCGGCAGGCCGTGGTTTCTTAGCGGCTGGAGATGGAGAAGTTCGTGCCGGCTGGAGATAGCGACATCGTGAGCCGGATAGCCCGGTAGTACCTCTCGCTGTCACACTATTCAACAACAACAAGTGCATTCACGTATTAAAAAATAGGGGGGTGGTGGGTCAGCCATGAATTTTGAAAGTAATTGTAATTGTCACGGGTTTATTCTCTTTTGTTTACTAATTGGCTGTGTCGGGTGGTGGCGGGTTTAACGACTCAGTTATATTTACGCGATCTCACCCAAAAAACCTCCATTATAGTTAAAAGTAATGTTTTGCTTGTGCCGTCAGGTGTTGGTATGCGGGACGTTCAAAGGGATGAAGATCAAGCCTGGATCCATGGGCAAGGCTTCTCCAGGATACCAAGTAGAGGTACATTGTCGCACCTCCGATTGGTGGCTACGTATGGTGCAAAAGAAGTTCACCATACGTACACACATGCAAATGCCCTCTTGTATGTATGGACTGTATGTATGGTTTGGAGATGCTACCCTCCGGGCCTATCGGACTTCAGGAGCAGCCGTGCCTGCGGTGCGTGTGCGCGTGCTCCGGGCGTCGTGTGCCGTGCCGGCCTTCATCAGCGCTGCTCGCGAACAGCACTTTGCCCCAAAAGTGCGTTAAGGCTACACGGGCGATCTTTGTCTTTGTGCCAAACAGGTCATTGACGAGCAAGGAAAAGTAGTCGCGGCTGGAGAAGAGGGAGACTTAGCCATCCGGATAAAACCACAAAGGCCTCCCTGGCTGTTCACGGAGTATCTGGTAAGGGTTCGCGGAGCGTTACAACCGCCAAAGACGTGCAAAGATCGCCCCGCGTAGCCGGGCCAGACTGTTGGGGCGAGTGCCGTTTGGCGAGGCCCGGCCTCTCTGCCGTGCAGGACAATCCCCGGAGCAGTGCGGCGACGGAGCGAGGTGACTTCTACGTGACGGGGGACCGGGCGACTCGGGACCAGGACGGATACTTCTGGTTCGTGGGCAGAGCCGACGATGTCATCCTGTCGGCCGGGTGAGGCTGCCGCCTGGTGCTCGGTGGGGCGGAGGGGGGGGGCGGTGGTGGGGAGATGCTAATTACCTCGCCTGGCATGCAGGAGGTCGTGGGTTCCATCCAGACCCTGACGCCTGCTGCTGTATATTTGGAGTGTGCGTGCGTCTCTCCCCGTGGTCGCATGGATTTTTCTCCGGGTCCTCTGGTTTTTTCCTCCACATTTAGACTCAACATCACGTGTTCAGAGTATTTGGTTGCTATACATTTCCCCGCGATAAGCCACTTCATTGAGCTATCATTTGTGGCCAGGTCCCTGCTGCTAAAGAGCTACATGGCTAAAAAATATAGTCTTATAGTTAACTTCCACTTTCGAACATTTATTCACTCCCATTCCTTCTCTCTGGGTCCTCCGGGTTGATCTCTCCACATTTAGAACCGTCACGCGTCGAAATAGCGCAAGGCGATGTCACAGTGATGCTCACATCACCGTGGCTCTATTTTAGGACCGGAAGCAGGAAGGCTTCTTCGCAATTCTGGCAAATCGCCTGACGAGGCTGGTTGGGGGTTTATCGCCATCACAGCGGTGTGCTGAAGTAATCGCTAATTGGCACGTTTTGTTTCCGTGATAAACCTTACTAATTGGGCTGTGTCCAGTATTTGGCTGCTGTACTGTTGCACGCGATGAGCCACTTCGTCGAGCGAGCGTTTTATGGCCAGGCGCTGTCTGAAAGAGAGCTACGTAGCCGGGACGCGACCGGTGACTTTGGTAATCGATCACTCGACTGATCGAATAATACGAACATCGTTTTGGGGTGATGGAGGGGGCTCGCCGGACGTGGATCGTCGGGGGTTCACCGCCTTCGGGGAGGGAGCGCGCCGCCGGACGCACGCCGTAGTCGGCGTGCGCCGAGAGGACTCGACGACGCGGACGAGCGGTCAAAAAAAGGGCAACGTTTGGGGCGATTTAAAATCGACTCAATCGCCCAACCTTGCACCTCGCCCAAGATTCTATTTCACAAGTGCGTGACTGCGAGTCCGGGCCGTCGGCAAATGCGCGGCTCCGGGGCAGCGCGTGGCTCTCCGAGGGGGTGTCTGGTGGCCGCTATTAGTTACCAAGGAGGCGGCACCGTCTCCTCGTATTCACACATTTGCATTGCGGCTCTTGAAATATTGACGGGTTTTTTTTTTATTTCGGTGGCCCGATCCCTCCTGTGCTCGACCAAGCACGCTCCACTTTGGGGAGGGGAGGGTGGCCACACGAAGACGTCTTACTCAACGCGTTGCCACGGCAGCGAGCGTCCGTTCGTCTGTGACGCGTTCGTGCGTGTCTCTGCCCCCCCCCCCCCCAAAGCTATCGGATCGGCCCCTTCGAGGTGGAGAGCGCCCTGATTGAGCACCCGGCCGTGGTGGAATCCGCTGTCACCAGCAGCCCCGATCCGGTCCGCGGGGAGGTGAGGCCGCCGTGTAGTGCACATGCCCCCGTCACGTCGCCATCACGCTGTGTGTCTCTGTGAGTCCCTGTGCATCTCTACGAGGCTACGGGCAGACTCCGACTGAACCATTTGTTTTTGTTATTTGTTTGTAGCGATTTGTTTGCCTTTCCTACACTCCCACGGTGTGTTTGCACTGTTTGTTGTTGCAAAGTTTTGTTCCCGCCCCTACTGGACATCTGCGACAAAGAGCCTCATAGCTCATCGGATTCTTCCTCCTGTCTCTCTCTCTCTCTCTTCTCGCCCCCTTCACTGGAACAAACTTCTCCCTCCGCGTGAAGCGGTCACCTTCGTTCGCTCGTTTTCACTTCTCACTCAAAACTAGCTCCTTGTTTCCTAGCTCACCACACGACTCCCCCCCCCCCCTTAACCTCCCACCTCATAACCACCGCCGTTCCTGTTCCCTCTTCACGTTCTCATTTGATCACTCATGAACCCCGTTCATTCAACGTATGCATCATCATTTACTGTCATCGATTTCGCTTTCACCAAATTCACGCATCACAGATTTGCCCCCCCCCCTCCCCCAATTGCTTCCTCTCATCTAATTTAGTCACCTCACCTCCACCGTCACGTTGACACGTCGCTCTACCGTTGATCAAGTCTTGGTCAAGGCGCGACGTAGATCCCTTCAAGGGAAGATTTCTGATGAAACCGATTGTGACCGTTGCGCGAGACCAGGTGGTGAAGGCCTTCGTTGTTCTCACCGAGGAGTACAAGTCCCGCAGCCCCCAGCTGCTCATCGCGGAGCTGCAGGATCACGTGAAGACCGTGACGGCCCCGTACAAGTACCCGCGCAAGGTACGCGCAAGTGCCGTACAAGTACTCGCGCAAGCGGCCAACAATCGACCGCATCAATCCCCCAGGTTTAGCCACTGCGCCACCACTTATCCACCCCATTCGTTGCTCTTAAGTGGCGTTTTAAGATGTTAACTACCTCGCATGGTATTCAGGAGACCGTGGGTTCAATCCTGGCCCTGACGATGCCTGTTATCGCCTCCCGGGGTCGCGTGGATTATTCTCCAGGTCCTCCGGTTTTCCCCTCCACGTTTAGAATCAACTTCACGCGTTTAGAGTATTGACTGCTTTAATTGCCCACATGATAAGCCACTTTTTTATTGACCTATCATTTGTGGCCAAGTCGCTTCTGAAAAAGAGCTATATAGCTCAGTGTACCTTACCTGGTAAAATAAAACAATTGTTTCGTAAGGCTAAACATGTTTTAATGTTATTACACTTTGGTGACACAATCATCTATGCAATAATACCAGTGGCACAAGCTCACGCGTGCTATCATTTCCTTTCAGATCGAATTCGTCGATCAACTCCCAAAGACCGTGAGTGGGAAGATACGGAGAGTGGAGCTTCGCAAGAAGGAATGGGACAGGAGCTGAATTCGCGGTCTACGGAATATCTCCCGGCTGCAGAAGGAAATCAATGAGATGATCACAAATATAGTTGATTTCACAGAGCAAGTCAACGCACAAACAGTATTACCGCCTTTCCGCGTGCTCAGTTAATTGTAATCCCGTGAGTACATTGTTGTAGATTATTGTTCATTATAACAAGCCAATTGCAATGTTACCAATATATATTTTTCAGACAACGTGGTATTCTTTTGTTTTATTAACAAGGGAGACCCGCAGTCCAGTTGATGAGATAACAACTTGGAACACGCACACACACTCACACACAGCGAGACCCATCGTTTGCAATAGTCAATCCACTGCTGGATGAAGCGGTCGCCATCTCTCAATATGCAACGATCCACCCGGCACCCGAAACGCGACCGGATGCCATCGATCTCCTCTGTGGACGTCCTCTCAGATGTACAAAGCAACCGTGTGTGTGTGTGATGTTCTATCTACTCTCAACCTAAGGGGTGCCATGGTGGGGAGATATTAACTACCTCGCCTGGTATGCAGGAGGTCGTGGGTTCCATCCCGACCCTGACGCCTGCTGCTGTATATATTTGGAGTTTGCTTGTCTCTCTCCCCGTGGTCGCGTGGATCCTCCGGTTTTCCCCTCCACATTTAGGATTAACACCACGCGTTTCCAGCATTTGGCTGCTATACATTTCCACGTGGTGATGATGATGATAAGCCACTTCGTTGAGATGTCATTTGTGATAGCCAGGTTCGCTTCTGAATAAAAGCTACGTAGCTCCGTGGGCCTCACCTGGTAAAGTAAGACATAGTTGCTGTAGTTGTGCTTTGCTTCGGTTAATTTACCCATCGTATATTGCGTAGCGCAAGCCTGGCAGCTCCTCTTGGATTGGTGGGAGGGGGCAGGAGAGTCGTAATGTGGGGGTGGGGGGCCCACCGCTTATCACCGCGAAGGAAGGAAGCGTGAATGTGGGTGGGGGCCCAAAGGGACGTTTTGGTGGCGCAGGGCCCAGCCCAGCGCCTAGCACCCAGCCCAGCGCCAAGCCCATTGCCCGGTTTAGAGCCCTCCCCAGCGCCCAGCACCCAGCCCAGCACCCAGCCCAACACTCAGCGCCCAGCCCAGCACCCAGCCCAGCGTCCAGCCCAGCGCCCAGCCCAGCACGCAGCACCCAGCCCAGCGCCCAGCCCAGCGCCAGCCCAGCGCCCAGCCCAGCACGCAGCACCCAGCCCAGCGCCCAGCCCAACGCCAGCCCAGCGCCCAGCCCAGCGCCCAGCCCAGCACTCAGCACCCAGCCCAGCGCCCAGCCCAGCGCCCAGCCCAGCACGCAGCACCCAGCCCAGCGCCCAGCCCAGCGCCAGCCCAGCACTCAGCACCCAGCCCAGCGCCCAGCCCAGCACGCAGCACCCAGCCCAGCACCCAGCCCAGCGCCCAGCCCAGCACTCAGCACCCAGCCCAGCGCCCAGCCCAGCGCCAGCCGTGGTGTAGCTGCTCGGTGGCTGGTAAAAATATTGGTACAGGAAAATGGGCACAAGTGAAAACTAGTACAAATATTGGGACAACAAATAGGGATTTATCATCTCTTTCATTCAGATCTGTATATAACTGCTCGTATGGTACTGCCAACTGTTGGCACGGTACTTAGTGCATCTTATATATAACTAGCGGTAAGTACCCGGCGTTGCCCGGGCAAAAAAGGCAGACACACACATGTAGTTACACACACAAATCGACTGTAACACAGTTACACACACATATCGACTCACACATACATACATAGACTGAACAACAACAACAACCGCCATTCGCCAGTAAGTGGCGGTGACGTCACGACAACACTTGTGCCAGGCCATGTGCACCTTGAGGCCACGTGAAGTGTCGAACGCCCGCTGGCAGGAGGTCACGGGGCAGACCCAGATGGCACAGGTCGACTGACTGAAACGACTGGCTGATGCACCGCCTGTGCCCCCTACTGTGGCAACTCACTCTCACCACTCACCCTCACCATTCAGCCTCACCACTCACCACTCACCATCACCACTCACCACTTACCACTCTCCCTCACCACTCAGCACTCACCCCCACCACTCACCCTCACCACTCCCCACTCACCCTCACCACTCACACTCACCACTTACCACTCTCCCTCACCACTCACCCTCACCACTCACCCCCACCACTCACCCTCACCACTCCCCACTCACCCTCACCACTCACACTCACCACTTACCACTCTCCCTCACCACTCACCCTCACCACTCACCCTCACCACTCACCATCACCACTCACACTCACCACTTACCACTCTCCCTCACCACTCACCACTCAGCACTCACCCCCACCACTCACCCTCACCACTCACCCTCACCACTCACCACTTACCACTCTCCCTCACAACTCACCACTCAGCACTCACCCCCACCACTCACCCTCACCACTCACGCTCACCGCTCACCCTCACAACACACTAATCACCACTCACAACCGCCACGCACCCTCACCACTCACCCTCACAACAACCGCTCACCACTCACCCTCACCACTCACCCTCATCACTCATGTGTGTCTGTCTTTTTTGCCCGGGCAACGCCTTACCACTAGTGGCCCTATAAAACACTTTACAGCCTAGCAGGTGAGTGCAATTAAATACAGGAGGTGGAGCACAGTCGGTCTGAACACAGGGGTGGCATTCTGCTACAGCTTTACCATACGGCAAATAATGATTTAAAAAGAATGCATCAAAGAGCGGCATACTCTAAAATAGTATAGTGCGCGTCCAATGTAGTAGGCAGAGGAGGCCTACAACTACTGTGTTGAGAATGTTATCCTGGGCGCTGCAGGCGAATGCTCCATGCCAACGTGTTGAGGCACGGTCTGTGCGTGCATCACAACCTGGCACAGAGCACACAATAAGATTAAATAATTCACAGTAGTCCGAGGCCTGGCTCTGGATTCCAGCGATAAATATGCTCCGTGCAAAATTGTGTTGTGCTTCACTCAACAGCCTTCTTGTGTTTCGATTTAAAGCTTTCGTGACTGCAGGGATTCATCTTCTTGGTTCTTTCGGTAATGTCACGTAGAAGGGAAACAATAAAATAATAAAAATAAAACATAATAAAATAATATAATTATTATGTTTTATTTTTATTATTTTATTACTTCCCTTCTACGTGACTTTACCGAAAGAACCAAGAAGATGAGCCTTCTTGTGCACATGAGAGCGAAGCAGTGTTGTTTTGATTAAATAAGAAACATTTTGGTGTAATGAAAGCAGATTACAAACTTATTGCTAAACTAATATGGGTGTATAAAATTCCGTTTTGACCGCACCTTTAAATTCAGTCAACGCATGTGGTGGTCTCGCTGGCGCTGGTCGCAGCGCGGCAGTACAGCTCGATGGAGCGCTTCTGGCGTCGCTCCAACAACAAGATGCTGCTGGAGCACGAGCGCGATGCCCTGCCCTACCTGGAGCGACTGTTGCTCGGAGGAGATGCGCCAGCCCTCGCCACCGTCGGTGACGCGCGCGTGCAACGGCCCAGCCACGTGGTCGCCATCGCAGCACCTCGTGCCGTCTTGAGCTATGGGCGCGCTATGGGGAGTTCTTGCGCGGTAGGAAGGAGTGTGGGTGGAGCGTGACTTTGCCAGTTTGCCACACTGAGATCGGCAAGACAAATACCATTTTAAAGTGGATTTCTAATATTAACCTTTAAATAATAACTGTACAAATGATTTTTTTTATTTAAAGCTTTCGTGACTGCAGGGATTCATTTTATTGGTTCTTTCGGTAAAGTCACGTAGAATGGAAATAATAAAATAATAAAAATAAAACATTATAAAATAATTCTCACGACGTTTCGGCCACAACGCAAGCAGCCGTCCTCAGGTGGAGAACAGGTCTGTCGAGAATGATGATAGTTCTTTATCCATCCGTCTCATTGAGTAGAATTTTTAGGATGTTCCTGCATTGGAATGGGTAGCAAATTCCTTGTTAATATGAAGGAGAAAAATGGAGTAGCCGGAGGCAATCCAAGTATACAAGCAGTTGACACTACAAAACTTTACAGACTGGTGAGTGACCAATTCGTTAAGTTGCAATCCGATGGTCACCTCTCCGTCACATGATGTGCGCTTTAAACCGCACCTCCGATTTGCACGGTTGGCTACATATGGTGCAAAACAAGTTCAACATACATATGTGGTACTAAAGGCAGGGATGGGGAATCTCAGGCCAACGGGCTGGAAACAACCAGTGACTTAGTTTCATATGGCTCATGGTTACATGAGGCCTCCTGCTTCGAAACGGTCTGCAAACAATATTTATCCATCACTGCAGGCATCTCTGCCAGACTAATCGGGTATTAGAGAGGAATATCTTCAACCCTGTCAACACTGTATTTCTAATTTGAGCATGCTCAGTCACCTGTTGTCTTGTGGATCTGAGCACACAATCGATGCATGAAGTAAAAATGTTGTGTCAAATAATTTGTGGCCCACCAAGGATATTTGTAAGTCCCATTCGGCCCTCAGGAAATAAAAGGTTCTCGTCGCTTGGGCTCGGGGCTGACAGTGCAGCTGAGTGGGCTAGGGGTTGAGAGTGCAGTTAATTGAGAGCATAGTTGAAGGACATATTTGTATATAATTTGAGTAAATTGTACATACTATCTCACGCACATGATTTCAATACTTACATTGCAAGCATAACAATCTATCATCATCAATAAACCTATATGTCCTGCTTCCTGACTGTCAGTGTAATTCGATTCGTCTTGCTTCTTTGCACACTTTTTAGCTATCGTTCCATTTCATTGGTAAGCGTGCATGTTTCTAAAGTTCTGAGCTTGGCCTAGTGGCAGTGCGTTTGCAGCTTGTTACTGAAGTTCGCGGTTCGAATCCAGCGTCTGCCCTGGTTAAAGAACTGTGGGTGTATTAACTGTTAAAATCGTGCCATCTGCTTCACAGTGGCCAGCGAAGGCCCCCTCGTGTTACTCACAAAAAAGGCCAATTGTGCGCTGGAGTCATGGTTCAAATTTTCCAAATGAAAATCACTCAATTAAGATGAAACATAGGAGTCGTTGGCCCTTACTGCAAACAACTTGGCAGGACCTTCGTTAAAAATAGTTGAGAGTCTTTATTTGGTACACAAATGCTTGCTTTTTGATCACAAGCATCTAATCCAGCACTGTGGAGGCGAGGTTTGGTGAATCACACAAATGCTGCGAAACT